GCCCGGGGGGGTGGCCGGGCCGAGGGCTGGCGGAGCCTGCCCCCTAGGGAGCGCTGAGTCCCGGAGGTGGTCGTTTCTGGGGAGGGGGTGGTGGGGCTCCTCCCACCTGCCCCCTTCTTTCCAGCACTTGCATGGCGCTTCCCTCCTTTTCCACTCTATCTGTCACATATTGCATTCCTCCTTCCTCCCCCTTCTCCATTTGTCCTCCACTTCTCTCACCCAGTCCCTAGTGAGCCTGCCTCCGGTCTGAGGATCTGAATCCAGGTCGTCCTGGAATGTGTAGATGTTGTTCACTTACACGCAGGGCTACCCTGATGTCCCCACCTCCCAGTCCTGACTCTTTTGAGCTGTCCCAGGAGGGTGTCCCGCCTCTGACTCACAGGAGAGAGGCCAGGCTGTGACTGTGACAAGCGAGGTGTGTGATGTGTGTGTGGGCGTGCACACTGGTGTGAGAGTGTGAGAAGGGCACGCAGGCCAGAGGTAGGACATGGAGCAGCTGGGAAAGGGCCTGGGAGCCATGGGACAATCTGATGGCTTTCTTCCTTTCCCCTGCCTCTGGCCCTGCCTGTCCTGGGCCAACATGGTGAGTGTGGGACAGGAGTGGGTGAAGGCTGACCCTTTCCCAGAGGTTTTCAGGGAAAAGGATTCTACTTCATCCCTTGGCTTTGCTTCTCGATCCATGACCCTCTTTTAAGGAAGCTCACTCTGATATCTAACAGTCTGCCCTGTTCCCACTGGACATGTTGTCTGAGGAAGCACAAATCAGACCAACAGCGTCTATTTATGTTTCCAGATGGCTGGAGGGTAGGGTCATGGGTCCAGCCTTCATGAGCCCGAAATGCAGCAGCGACGAGGCTTGCTCTATGGTGACCTGTGGTCAAAGCAGATGGGGCAAAGCAGGCAGCACGGTACTGATCAAGAGCAGTTCAGAGGCTCTGGTTCACTCTGGCCTGTAGACAAGTCGTTTTCCCTTCCCAGGCCTCAGTCTCCCTTCGACCAAATGATAATTAACATTCTGCCTTTTCCCCAGGGTTGGTGTGGGGCTCAAGGGAGACAGTGGCTAGAGGAATGCCTCCTGAACCACAAAGGTGGCTCTACGAGCACTTGGCTAACTTCCAACGTGAGTTCAGATTCTTCAGGGTATTTGACATGCCCAGGTCTGTGCTGAGGTCTGACATACGGGAACTTGAAGATTTGGTACCTGCTCTAATTCCCGTTTTGCTAACACGCAGGAAACATTTGCCTCAGGGACGAGAGCAGTCTCAGGGCATCTCAGGGCAGCTGGACCTCAGTGAGGTCATGGTGCTGACTGAGATAAGACTCAGGTCGTCAGGGTTGGGAGGCATTTGGGTAGGGAGCGGCAGTGTGGGCAAAGGCTTGGTGTGGGGTGCATTGAGGAGAGCCGCTGGCCGCAGCAGAGTGCAGATAGAACGAGGAAGAATAAGCAAAGGTTGCCCTAGGTACAACGGGGCGGCTTGAAGAACCCTCAGAGTCCACAGAAAAGTTGGACTTGTTAGGACTCAACACGGTGGGCAACAGGGAGCCGTGGAAGGCTCTTGGGCAGAGAAATGACAACTGGACCCTCAGAAAGAAAAACCTATTCCTATGGAGCATTGCAGTCGGCCCTCTGAGCACGCCAGGCAGGAGTGTGCAGGGAGCTGGTGCAAATGCCTCCTGTATGCGGGCGAGCTTCTGTGTTGTGACTCGGGCCACACGCGTGCTTCAGTGTGCCAAGTGGCTGCATGCCCCGGATCCATGCTGCACGTGCCAGCCAGTGCGGGTGCGGGGCAGTGGGAGGTGGGAGAGGTGTATGCGTGTTGTTTGTGGGCATGTGTGTCAGCGTGTGCATGCGGGGCTGTGGGGCCTCACAGCATTGTGTGCACGCCCGTGCGTGTGTGTGAGCGTGTCCGCCACCCCCAGGCCCGCCCTGTCCGTGCGTGTGAACTGCCATGTTGATTTCGTGCTGTCTTTCAGAATCACTATCAGTGACCCCTGAGGAGCGTCAGCCACGGTAGGTACATGCCTCTTGGCCTGCTGCATGAGTGGTGTGTCTGCCCCTGCTGCACCAGCTCCACACGGGGGGCACACCTAGGACTGCAGAGCCAGGCTCCCGCCCTCTCCCTTCTGCAGCTCCAGACTTATTCTTTCCTCCTTCTGTCCTCACTGCCAGCTGCTCTCTCACCTCCCTTCTCAGCGAGCCTCGGGACTCAGTGCCACTGCCCGGGATCCCCGTGGCTGAGCCTGGGGGGCTCTCGGGACAGGCTCCGCACCCGAGCTGGCAGACGTGGGTGTTCTCCAGCGCGGCCAGAGGGCAGAGAGCTCGTGGCTTAGGGTGTAGGGGCAGGGAGCTTGGGCTCAGGCAGCCTTGGAACTTCACCCTGGGGTGCCATACTCGCTCCCCAGTCTGAGCCGTGCTGCTGGGGCAGGACGGCCAGCTCGCAGCCGTGGAGCAATAGGACCCGAATCCACCAGAGGGCAGAGTCCCACCTCTATTGTGCAGTGATCTGGGGAGAAGGCTCTGGTTGGTTGATGATTTCTGAAAGCCTCGGGGTCCTATCCACACCATCAGCCCAGAACACACCTCACAGGCGAGGCAGGGTCCCGCAGCCCCTTCCCCTGCCTCCTTGGTGTTGTCACGCCTGGGAGTGCACGACTGAAGGCAGCGTTCTCAGCCCCAGGTGCAGCACCCAGCCAGCCCCAGGGCTCACAGACCTGGGCCTGTTGCTCCTAGAGGCGGCCCACACTTTCCAGCCAGGGGGACGGCAGTGTCTGCTGACCTGGGCAGGTCAGCCTCTCTGAGTTCCATCCCGGCTGGGCCGCGGAACTCGCCCAGCGAACCCGCCCGCCACTCTGTCCCTGCCGCTGACTCTCATTCTTCTGCTTTTCCCCAGCAGGAAGGGCCCAGCCTCACCTACGCGACCTGCGGTCCCCCGACCACCTGAGGCTCCCCTCTTAGACTTATAAGCCTGTGGCCACTGGCATCCAGCTGCCTGTCCTCCACTCCCCAGGGTCCCTTCAGAGGACTCCTGAGCTTTCTGCCCACCCGGAGAGGCCTCCAGGGCTCCCTCCAGCCATCCTTTTAGCTTTGCCCTCCTGGTTGAAACAGTGTTCTTTCTCCTGTCTTTTCCATCAGGCCTGGTGGCTGTTGCCTGGGGCTCAGAGCCCCATCCTCCCTGAGGCTAGTGGTGGCCTGGGCCAGTGAGTTGAGGATAGGGAACCACAGGAGGAGGAAGCCAGAGGGGGCTGAGCATGTGTCTGGAGCTGTGGGTGCACTGCCTGGTGGTGTGTGAGAGACCAGCGTGCGTGGCGGGGGAGGGCCACCCCAGCCTCCAGCCCAGACCCCACAGAGCTCTGGCCCCGCCCATCTCCAGCTCCTCCCTTCCACCTTCCCTTTCTTGCCTCTCCCCTCTCTTCCAGAATCCTTGCCCACACCTTCGCCTGCATCTTCTTCCCCTGCCCTCCCCTCACACGCCTGCGGGCTCAGCTGCCCTTGCCTTACCAGCTCTCTCCCTCCTCTCTCCTGTTCTGTTTCCTCTCCAACTGCCAGCCGATCGGGTCAGGCAAGTCCATCCCGTCCTGAGAGCCCCAGGCCCCCCTTCGACCTCTAACCAGATCCCTCTATTCCTCGGAGACTTCTCTTTCCAAGCCTTCCTGGACGGCTGTTCTGTGACTTGACAGTGGCTCCCTGGCCCCAAAGCCTCCCCCTTCATCTGTGACTTAGTCTGTTGTAGTGGTGAGCTGACACACCCAGCGTGACGTTGGTGAAACTTGTGCCCCTCTGTGGTATTTCTCCTGCTCCGTTCTATAAATAACTATAAATAACCATATATTATACATATATATATATACACGCACACAGATATGGCTGCCACAGTCTCACCTCTAGTGCTGGGAATTACCGTGCTGTCCTTGAGGAGTCTTGTGACCCAACTATAAGGGAACACAGTCACCCTGAAATCCTCCTCCAAAGCGTGCCACCTCCGATGAGCTTCCCTGTCATGCCCACCCAGCCTGTGACAGCCAGCCCCCTCTGCTGCCATCCCACCCCTCCCTCCTCCTGCGCAGGGGTGCTGTATTGGCAGCTGCGTGGTTCTCTGACTGCTACCAGTCTTACTGTCTCTTGGCTGAGAATAAATAAAACCCATTTCTGGACAATGGGGAAAAGTGTGTCCTCTGCTGGCTTGTGTTTGTGGCACTGAGAGAGGTGAAGGTTTAACATTGGGGTGCGGGGGTGGGGGAAGGACCCAGCCATTGCTAGGGTGCTGTCAGGAATGATAAAAACCAGGCTACTGGGAAAGCACCTGGATATTCGCAGGTCCTCATCCTGTGAATCCTGCTCTGACCACTAGGGGGCAGGAACACCATCAGCCTGGAGGGAGGATGTGGGGTGTGGGCCGGCAGGGTGGAGGGACTGAACAAACAGGCCACCGGAGGGCAGGGTCATGGAATGGAAAGCAGCTGGCCTGGAAGTTGGCTCTCTCGGGTGCTGGGATGCTGCTTTCCCTCCTCGGGGTTAGATCAGTCTTCTGAGTCTGTCAGCCATTCAGGCCCCTTAGAGCCCTGTGGTCACCCCGGGGGTCCCCCAGGCTTCACCAAGCAGCATGTGACAGGTCCAGATCTCTAACATCCCCACTGGACACGCTCAGACACCCTGGGGCTCCACACAATGCAGAAGCCTGCCCTCTGCTAGCAGGCCCATTTCCTGTTCGGTACCCAGGCCCAGAACCCAAGACCCAGGGGCCGGAAACAAACACACAAGGCACCTGGCTGGCGTGGCTCAGTGACTGAGAGTTGACTTATGGACCAGGTCATGGTTCGATTCCTGGTCAGGCCCAGGTTGTGGGCTCCATGCCCCGTGTGGGGCATGCAGGAGGCACTCGATCAGTGTTTTTCTCATTGATGTTTCTCTCTCTCCCTCTCCCTTCCTCTCTCTGAAATCAGTAAGAACATATTTTAAAAATAAACACACAAGGCAGTATGGCTAAATCCATTTATTCCGAAATAAAACAAATAGAGTCGAATCAACCCCATCCCCACCTCCTTCCTCTGTCATATGTTATCAATAAATAAGTTTATTCTTGCATTATAATAATAATAGGGGCGGCAGGGATGGGGTGCAGGGACTGGGTGGACTCTCCCCATCCAGTCCCTGCACCCCATCCCTGCCGCCCCTATTATAATTCTCCGGGGGTAGTGTCAAGTTATTAGATCACCATGATCTTCACGCCAGCATCGTTATCAGCCCGGTAGAAGAAGGGGATGCAGGGGTTTCTGCTCAAGCCTGGGTACTCCTGGGGGCTCTGCAGCTCACACAGCAGCTGCATGATCTGCTGTGCGGTGGAGTTCTCAAGTGCAGCAGGGCCCGGCTCCATACCGTCCGCCAGGCTCACCTCGTGAAGATCTTTTGAGAAGGGCAGGGCTCTGAGTGTTGTGAGAGCTCCCCCCACCCCCCTGCCCACTCACCCTCTCCCAGAGCTCTACTCACCACCTTGGCTATGAGCAGCTCCAGTTGCCTGGGGGGCCGGGGGGGCCGTCGTGGGCTCCCCAGCAGGGTTCTGGGCAGCCCCCAGGAACCTGCCATACCATTCATTACGCTCACCAACCAGGCGCACCACCAGCTCCTGCAGCTCCAGTAGCTTCACCTGGAGAGAGAGGCACTCAGCAGCCACACCCGGCCCTGGCCCCGCCCACAGAGGTGGTCAGGCCCTACCTTCATTTCCTCCTTGTCCTTAGCCAGCCGGCTGATGTACTCCTCCTTCTCCCGGTGGCGCTCCTTCAGTACTGCCCTCTGATTCTGATACAGGGTGATGTAGTCTCCTGCGAAGAGCGGGGAGGGCAGGCAGGTGGAGAGGGCTCAGCTGCTGGGGATCCCCGCCCACCATACAGCACTCCCTGCGCCAGGCCCTGGCCTTGCCGCTCACCAATAGTATCTGTTTCTCCAGACAGTTGAATGCAGCGATGCTCCAGCTCCTCAACCCGCTCCTTCAGATCCACGTTCTCTTGCATGACCTCTGTAAAGCGGCTCTGCAGCCACAAAGCAGGGTCAGGGCTCAGCAGCCACCTGCCCCGCCCGTCCCCACCCTCCCTGGCCCTGGCCAGGGGACACTCACTCACCTGCAGCTGGTCCATGGCCACCTGGAGGGCCTGGTGGGTCTCCACAGGCACACTGTGCCCCTCGGGGCTCGGGGCTGGGGTGTCCGCCTCCAGCTTGCGCTGGGATGGGGCTGCCAGCTGCGCCAGGTGCCGGCAGTGTAGCTTTTGCTTCTTCAGCTCCCTGCGCAGCTGTGCCCGTTCTTCCTCCGCACTGGCTAAGGCCGTGTTAAAAAATTCCACCTGCGGGCAAGAGGTGTGTGTGCTTTTGCGGGGGAATGCTCAGGACAAGCGGGAGGCACAGGGTCAGAGAGGACCTTCCCATCACAGGGCCTCTGTGGACACATCTGTGGTTCAAGGATGGGGTGGTGTCTGACCACTGGCTCCCAGGGGAGGTTGGGAATCAAGAGAAGTTACAGGGTAGAAATCAAGAGGTGACAAGGGTGTCCGGGAGGGACCTCAGAGGGAGGCAGGAAGGTGGGACAGGAAAGGGCAGGGAGGTCAGCTCACCATGGCCTCTCGGCTACCTAGGTCCTCCGGGATGCTCAGCTTTGGCCGCACAGCCTCCTCCTCCAGCTCCTCTCCATCCAGTCCATCGCCTGTTGGGGGCAGCCAAAGGGGCCTCAGACAACCCCACAGGGAGGTGGAGCAGCCCAGAAGATAGCTCGGGACCCAGCTCTGCCCCGCCTCACTGACCCCAGAGGAAGAGGGTTCGCTGTCCTAAAGGTTTCTTCTAACTCAGTTCTTTGCTGCTAAAAGTCCCCCTCCCCCTCGGGCTCTGGCTTCTCCCTCTGGGCGGTTCCAATTACCTTCCCCAGGCAGAGCCATGAGGCTCAGCTGGGCCTGTAGCTGCTGGTTCTGTTGGTTGACAGCTTCCAGGAGCCCCTAAGGGGCCAGGAAAGAGCATGAGAAGGGACACAAGTTGCAGGTCTTCCCACTCAGGGCTGAGAGGCCCAGCACTCCAACTCCCTCACCTGGGTCTCCTGCAACTCTTGGCGGGCCTTCTTGGCCTCCTCCTGGCTCTGAACTTCCTCTTGCTGCTGCTGCTCCATGAGCTGGGAGTGCACCAGGACCTGCTTCTGCAGGGCCTCCTTGTCCGTGGCCAGCTGCTGGTAGGCGGCCACGTACTGCTGCAGGTAGCTCAGGTACTGGTCCCGCTGCTGCAGCAGACCCTGGGCCTCTTGGCTCTTCAGCTCCACCTGCGGGAAGACCCTGGGTGTGAGGGCAAGTGGTGGCTTCCTTCCCGATTCTGAGGAGATCAGCACAGACCTCCTGCCCAGGCCCTGGCTTCCTCCCTCCAGGGCCTCAGTGACTGCCTCCCTTGTCCAGAGTCCCATGCCGCCTTCACCCAGGCTCATACCTCAGAACAACCTGCTTTCTATTTTCACTTTAGGCCACAGGCTTGTGGAAAAGCACAGAGCGCCAACCAGTATCTGCTAAGCTGCACACTAAACGCCTGATACTTTACATGCATGATTCTCGTTTAATCCTCAGACCTCCATGAGGAAAGTGCTAATCTCCCTTTTAAGTTAAGGAAACTGAGCTTAGAGATGTGCCGTGAATATACCACGTCTCTTCCCCTCTAAGCGAGCTCAATGCCTCCACTGGAGATGATGACCTACAGCACAGGGCTACGCACCTGCACAGGTCAGAGGGCAGGGGCAACGCAGCCACAGGCTCTGAGGAACTCTGGGACCGCCTGTCTCTCCAGGCTGGAGCTGCCTCAGTTCTGGCCCCGGCACCCAGCTCATCCTTGCCCAAGTGCCTCCCGCCCCAGAGGCCAGTGCCCGACTCTGAGCCCTTCTCAGCTGGGGCAGCGTTACCGTCTCCTTCAGCTCCCCCAGCTTCTCCTGCAGCTGGCCCAGCTTCTTGGCCAGCTCCTTCTTGACATACTGCTCCGTCTGAAGCGTGCTGGTGATCTCCATATTCTCGTTGGTCTGGACAGAGAGAAGCAATCTGTGGCCACCCAATGCAGCTGGAGACACCAGAATTTGATGTCCACACCTACCCCCCACCACCCAGCTCAGAAAAGGGTAGAAGCAGGGAGGGAACCCCCAACTCCCCCCTTCCCCACATTCATCGACATGGGCTCCCTGGGTCACAGGATGCCTTCATAGGCTCCATTTCACGTAAGGACCATACCACCCCATTTTAAAGGCGGGACAACAAAGGCCCAGAGGGGTTAAGCGTCTTGCCCTGCAGGAAAGGACTCGGCAAGGGAGGGGGCAGGCCGGGCGAGCAGGGCTGCGCACCAGCCTGACGAAGCTGTCCTGCAGCTCAGCCAGCTGCTCCTTGAGCTCGCGGTTCTGGGAGAGCGCACGGCTGATGGTGGTGCGGTCGCTCTGCATGTCCTCCAGAATCTGCTTGCGCATCTCCGCCTGCTCGCCCCAGCGCTCGGCCTCCTGCTCCAGCTCCAGCAGGCGCTGCCCCTGCTCCTGATTCAGGCGGCTCAAACTTTCATTGTCCTGAATTTGGGCCCGCAGCTGCCCTGTCAGAACCTCCAGTTCCTGCTGTAGCTGCTCCGCTTTGGCTTGTAGCCGCTGTTCTTCCTCCGAGGGCCCTGCCGGGGGCTCCGGGGGTGGGGGGGCAGCTGAGGAGGCAAGCAGACAATAAGGGCCTCTCGCCTCTTGGTCCACAGCTAATTCGGGTTCCTCACCCCAAATCTTGGCTTCCTGCTAGTAATCCCCACTCCTATGATGTTCAATCTTTCAAGACACTCTCAGTAGAGTTCTCTGCATTTTCATGCTCAAGACAACTCTGGGCTGACAGTGGGCCCTCCCCCCTTTTTTCAGATGGAAACACTGAGGCTCAGAGAGATTGCAAGACTTGGCAGCTCCTGGTACACACCTCTTTCCCTTTGCACAATGTCCTTCCATCTGCCCCCCTCCTCGGGGGCATTCCAGCCAGCCTCTCCAGCTCCCCGACATGAGTCCTGCTCCCAGGTCCCTCCAGCCTCAGCTTACCTATCTGATTCCTCAGTTCGGCCAAGCTGGTCTCCAGCTCCTGCACCTGACCCATGCTCTGCTCCTTCTCCTCCCTCAGCTTGCACACCTGCCCAAAGCACGGAGAGTACGGAG